ATCAAGTATGGCGCCGTATTTATCTTGAACAAAAATGTACATTGTATAATATAATGGCGCCTAATTACAATCACTAAATGTGTATATGTGTAAATCTTGTTAGTGTTATTTTTCGCTTGTTAATGAAATAATTTTTTTCATTGATTATGCATATTTATTTTATTTAAATAAAAGCCCCAAGATACTGGCACCATAAATTGTCATTTCAGGCATCCAAATGATTAACACCATTATTATAAAATATACTACTGATAATAATCAAAATTGAATGAAATTTACAATGAATATTGACAGATAACTATAATATAAAACAACAACAACAACAAAAAAATATGATAACAGTTACCATGATGTGAATAACAAACTATTTTTGAATGTCTTTATTCAAGTTGTCAAGTAAACACATAAATAAATCTAGAGAAAAGCTTGTAAAAAAGAAGAAGGAAACTAACCCCCTCCCCCCCCCTATTCACTACATATTGTCTCACATATTCATCAATATTATTGCTTATTTTCTTTTCACACACAAAAAAAAAACAATATCACATTAGATATGAAAAAGAAGAGGAACATAAGTCTTACTAATGTGTAAATATTTATTTAAATAAGGAATAATGTACGGGATTGTTTGTTTATAGTAAAAGAAATAATGTATATGGAGAGAGTAGGCGCCATTAAACGAATGTTTAAATAAACAAATAAAATTCTCTCTTTAGAAATGCTCTGACATGGCCACGCTTATATAGCTTCTGACAGGGAAGTCCTACTCACTGCCTTCTCACAACAGCGGTGTTGTTGACGAAATTGAGAGGACGAAAAGTGAATTTCTGGTGCTTTGACCGGATAGATGGACACGAAAAGTCCACCTAGGGAAGCTGGAAAACCCTGATTCCAAGACAATGGTGCACATGAGCTGCAAGATCCTAAAGGAACAAATGGCGTATGAGTCAATCTTTGGTCACCGGCTAACATGGGACTGCATCTCCTCACGACGTTCCACTGTCTTGTGTATCAGACCTTTAGGTTGAAGGCTCCGGGTGTGGCCTCCTTGGAAAACACCCTGTTTCGGTTTCGGCACCTTGGCAGTATCACAGCCCTCACACAAATCAAATGAGATTTGTGTGACACATATATATATATATATATATATCTGATGCTCCCTTGTACTAATATTTATGTGTTTAAATAAATAATTAATTAATTAAAACTTTTGATGAAGTTCAAACAATGAACTAATTTCGAATACAATAAATATAGTAAGTAAACAGTATTAGATTTTGTTATTTCAAGTATTTAGGGGGTAATTTTGAGAAAATTGTAACTTCAATCAGAAAACTGTCTATTTTAAATAGATTTTCTAGTAGATCACTGAATGATGTCGGCCTATGTAAGTTTACAACTCATAGGATAAATGAACTACACTATTCTTTATGTATGATACATTGAATTAACTATTTATGTATACATGCTATTAACACCTTGATAACAAGCTGTTGACAACAGTTACTGTCTACTTTCTTGTATTTTTCACAAGAACGCCGAATTCTAAATAAGTTATCCACTATCATTAAATGCTACGTTGTCTATCATAATTTTTACCACCTGAATGGATTAAAAAATTTGGTTGTGTCCCAAAATCAATCGCCTATAATAGCTGTTACTATGGAGTGAATGATATATAAAATCAAGCACTTCAAAGGAATATATTAAATGGTGGATTCTATTGTTACATGTGCGTCAATTTTATGATAATAATAAGTGAGTATATTTTTATAATCTTGAGGGGATCAGTACTTAGTTTCTTCTAGTCACAATGACAGATTTATTTTAGTAAAATATTGACGAAAATATGAAAATATCTATTGGGAGATATATAACTGGAATTTATTTTACTGTTCATCAAGTAAACAATATCTTTGTGGAAATTTAATAGTTGAATTCATGAGTCAATTAAAGCTAGACCACCATGGAAAACCTGGAATCACTGAATGGCCATTTCCTTTTAGCATGGGATTCTTAGCAATGCACACTCAAGATCCTGCTCGTGGATTTCGAACTCAGGACCTTTCCGTCTAGCGCGGGAATGCTTAACCTCTAGACTACTGAGCTGACATCTAACGTTGTTAATAACTAACATCAACCAATCCACAAAATTGAGCAATCGTTCATTATTGTCCAGTGCTTTCAGGTTTTCCATGGTAGTCTATCTTTAATTGACTTATGAATCCAACTATTTAATTACTGAAATCTCCACAAAACCCCCTTCTGATAATATCTTCTTATTTGTTTGTTTCATTAATTTGAATTTTATCTGATTTTCATTAGTTTTATTCGTCTTTATATTTTTGTATTTCACTGATTTGCATTTTATCAAGTTGTATATCAAACAAGAAATCTCTTTCCAACTCGAAATTTCAAACGATACTTACCATCTTTATTTATTGTTTCCTATCAGAGATGGATAATAAAGATTGTTGAATGCTTCTAATAAGTTGATCTGTAAATGTTAACTGTTTCAAAGTACCTCCTCAATTGAATTGATTCTTCAAGTGATCTGAGTACCCAGTGAATAAAAACTTTTTTTAGTTGAATAAATCATGATAAATCACCTTATTAAAATATATATTTGTTTTAATTTTCCAATTTTTATGTCAGTTTCATGGTTGTCAGTTTAAACTTTTGACTTCATGCCTTTTTATATTTTGGTCAATATGGTAAGATAGAGTGAAATTTGAATATATCAATACATAACGAATGAAAATTGATAGGTTCTTCTCTTTTTACTTCTCAACATACTATAACAGACTATTTTGATATTTCTGAATTTAAAGCTACCTCCATGACAAGGAATTTCAAATCCTAATTTGCTGGTAATTTTTCTCACTAATTGATACAAGTTTCGATAGTGTAATAAGAAGACGAAGCTTATCAGAACTATGTGATGATATATTAGCGTAATACATCTCGAACAATCTGATCACACATATACTTGTTAAGAACATCTACATATAAAAATAAAAGGACAACTAGACTGAAAATGGAAGGGGGACGTAAGAGTAGACAAGGATAATAATAATAAAGATACAAGTTTGCTTTCTCAATAAGGAAAGCAAAAACAACAATGCCAGTTTATATTAATTTGAACCAATCGAAACGTACAATATAGATGTGAATGGACCAAAATATTCTTGTTATTCGAAGAAGAAGAAAATTTATTTAGACATCTACGTCTTTACGAAACTGCATTTTCATAAAGTATTTTCCCTTTTGTAAACTTTACTAAGAACCGCAGCTTAATTTTCAGCTGTATAACCTAGTGTCGCTGTGTGGAAAAAAAACATAACTTCATTATCACAATGGGGTGTTGTGGAGATTTTAGATCCCAAGAGGCGGGATCGTTGATTGTGCATTGCTGAGGAGTCCCACAATAGGACGAAACGGCCGTTCAGTGCTTCCAGGTTTTTCACGGTGGTCTAACTTCAATTGACTCATGACCTTAACTATATAAAAAAAAAGAACTCCATTATTTGAATTACATAACTTTTAGGGTCTAAATGGTTAGTTGTTCCAATTTCTTTTATTATTATATTATTTTATCAGCAAAAATTTTTGGTGATTATTATTATATTAATTAGATTAATTGAAAGTTAACTTGAAGCGTAATCCGTTTAATTGTCAGATGGATATAATTTTTATATAATTTTAATTTCAACTGATACATACTTAGTATAAGAGATTTGTGAAGATTGTAGTATTTTCATTATTGAATTATCTGAACTTGACTTCCATTACAAACCTTAAATTACTAGACATCCGTTTCGTTCCAGTGCATGTCTACAACTCAGGAACATAGAAACGAGTTTTTAACAATGTCTAAAAGTTATTAGCGCAATTCAAAAAGTCGACTGATTTTTCATTGAAATTTATATTTGTGTGAGTTGAAGAAAATCTGTAATACAGAATTTCTTTTCAATGAATGAATACGTCTTATTATCATTAGGAAATCTAACTACAGTTAATGACCATTTGAATGAAAATATGGGAAGGTAAATTTACTTCTCATTAGAATATGATGAGTTCCTAATGTTTTTTTGTCTATCTGTATTTGGTTATAGGCTTATAACAATAGATCCCATTCTATTGGTTACCGTGGTGAAATAGTCAAAGTTTGAAATTTGTTCAAAAGAAAAAAAACAACCTAATCTTTAGTATCTAATAAACACTATGGGTGTACTATACAAAAATCTAAATCAACTCTGATTTGTGATTTTACTCCATTCAGATAAAATCTGTTTCATAAAATTTCTTCCTTAAAGAAAAAATTGTTATCCATACAATGGACAAGTTTGTATATCATAAAGTCAATTGCCTATTGGTCAATGTAAAATATCTCCCACCCACCCAATATCTATGATTGTCTATTTTGTTTATAATAAAAATGAATAGATAATAATATTTTACCTGGTAACAAAACTTTCAAGGTCAAGTGTAACAATACAATGCAAAAAATAAAAAAAAAATCATAGTTCATTTTTAAAGAGAAATTACTCATATTCAAATTATTATCACTATACAACAATTAATTAATCAAATCTAATTCCATACGAATATTCCTAAAGATTGGGTACCAAGTACAGAAAAGTCATTATATATGGAAATTTCATATATTCATAATAATCTCAACTATTGAACTTTAAATAATTCCAACGTTTCGTCCAGTTAACTTATCTGTGCTTCATCAGGATAATCATCAAAATCAAATTTATCAAATTTAATACTATTTCAAATAAACAAATAAAACAAAATAGATGAAATAGCTAAAGAAAAAACCCAAAACACATTCAACATAGTTCTTCTGAATTGGATAATAAACATAAAATAATTCATAATTTCAATTTAGTTAATCTATTATGAAATAAGTAAAATATCTAATAACCCTAACAACTGTTACCTTTAAAGATGTACAGTGTATGGAAATGTACTCTATACAATATAGACTAATGTTCAATATATTAATATTTATAAGCTTTTTCATTCCTTTCCCCTTTATTCATTCAAATAGAATCCTATCAAAACCAACATATATTATCAATGATGTTAATAATAACAATCATATAAATAGTTACCATGGTAACTCATTTGATAAATTAAATATTTCCAATTATTTATGGCATTTATTTCAAAATCGTAATTTAAATTCATATCAAATACAAAAACCAACTTTATATTATATACCTAATAGTAATAATAATAATAATATAACAACAATCAAATTTAATCAATCAAATTTATTCAATCATTATAAACCATTACAAACTTTTGAAAATGTAAATATTTTTAGAAAATTGAAAAATGATCGTCATCATCATCAAGGTCATCTCAAAACAGAGGTTAATTCAAAATTGAGAACATTGAATAAACTATTTCAAATAAGTCAATTAACAATAATTCCACATCAAATTCCTATAATACCTAATGAACGACCATTTCATGATCATGTATTATTAAATTATAATGAAATGATCCGTTTATTAGGTGGACATAATTTTAATAATGAATTTATGTCATTTAATAAACCATGGGAAGCTATAATGTATCCAAGGGGTAGATTAATTTCTTTTACAAAATATGATAGAAATAACTTGGAAACTATAACATCTTTAAATAGAAATCGTAGATCACGTAAAATAAAACCACAGAAACAACAACAATTAATAAATATTTATGATCGATATAAGAAAAAAAAGAAAAAACAGAATCATTTAGATCCTAGTTCAAGCAACCTATTTCAAAATGTAATGGATCGATTAAAGTTGATCCAAAATTTAAAATATAAAAATCATTTACATAATCGTATGAAAAAGAATCGTCAATTAAGGCGGATTCTTCGAGAATTTTTAAATGACTATAATAATTGTCCTTTATATTATATATGGTATGATTTAGGTCCGAAATTTTGGCCAAGATGGATTAAAACTAGTCAATGTGTTAATTTAGCTAATACATCATGTTCACTACCTCCTGGAATGTATTGTCATGAAAAAAATATTGAGAATATAGCTATATTACGTTATATATGCCCTGAAAAATGGCCTTTATCCAAATGTAATTGGTATCGTGTACATTTACCAATTGTAACTGAATGCAGTTGTCAATGTACAAGTAAATCAATACACAGAAAAGACTCTTGATATGGTGAATAAATTCAATGATATTTTTTATTATTTCATTTTTATAATTTTATCACTATGGAATGATTACTGAAACTAGATATTTAAGCCTAAGTTACTGATAAGATTATGAGTAAGATATTCTGATGGGGTTATACTGTGCTCACTACATTTACTTATAGACGTGTTTAACATTAGAATTGTTAATCAGTATTTTTTTTACATTTAAACAACTGGTGCATTAGGTGTGAAACTTGATAGTGAGTTTTAAGAATAAAATTTCATTTGTCAGGCGTTATTTACAATTAGCTCATCAAAGTATAGTTACACATAAACAAAATATTCATCTATAAGCAGAAATGCGTGGTAGCTAGCAGCGAAATGCCGTACATACCTTTTGGCCTATTTGAAGATTGTAAGCTAGATATACCTATATCTCAGAGTTGATATTTACTCCGTAACTTGAACACAATACCGCTTACTTCAAGCCTTACGGAATTATCGATTTAGCTACTGAATCCAGAGAGCCCTTTCTGCAATGGAGTAGAGTTCAATCCACTTATATACGCTGTTTAAATCTTTCATCTTTGTTTATAATCCTTGTTACTCAATGGTAATATCCAGACAATTCATATAGGATGCTTATATGCCAAAAAGAGACTGATCAATTACAGTCCTCAACATCAATGGATGATTCAAGCAACCTACAGAAATGAAATATTTATCTTTTATATTAACACAATATGCTTCAGTCATATTTCATGATAAGTAAAATACTAAGCTTATCATAAATAATAATAATCAAAATAGGAACAAAAATATTCTGGTGACAAAGTTTATGATTGTTATGAATATACATGGAACCGTATTTAGTGTCTTATTATCTGACTAGACTGGTGAAGTTATGCAATGTACACTATGTACATATATATATATATATCACTGATTTCTAAGGTGCTTATTGCCAAACTCACTAAAATTGGCAACAGTTTTAATCTATGAGTATTAAAATTTTTTAAATTAAAGTATTTAACAGAAGGGGGTTTTTGTGGAGATTTGAGTAATTTTATATAGTTGAGATCATGAGTTAATTGAAGCTAGAGCATCATGGAAAACCTGAAAGCACTAGACGGATGTTTTGTCCTATTTTGGGAGTTCATTGTGGAGTTCAACCAGGTCTGTTGGAAGATATTAACTCACTGAAGACATTGATGAATGGTTGCTCAATTTCGTGGATTGGTTGAAGTTAGACATTAACACCGTTGGATGTCAGCTCAGTGGTCTATCGCTTAAGTGCTGATAAGTCCTGGGTTTGAATCTTGTTAGGCGCGATCGTGGATGCTGAGGATTCCCACAATAGGACGAAACGGTCATCCAGTGCTTTCAGGTTTTCCTTGATGGTCTAGCTTCAATTGACTCATGATCTCAACCATATAAAGTATTTAAAATAACTTTTACCGACAGGTATATTCTCTAAATAGTTATATCTAACAACTATAACCGAAAGTAAAACAAATTTATTAAACAGTTAATTTTATATTGTATCAGGGTAATTTAAACAGTTCACGTTTTAATCATCTCATCTTTGATACAAAACCATACCGTTACTCATGAAGATTACTAACCGATAATGAGACAGATTAGTTGAATTTGTAGTGCCGTGCTTCGTTAATCGTTCACTTTGATAACCGTTACAATACCAATCTTAATGGTACGTAAAATGAGAAGGCAAAGAGAAGCGGTAACTATAGTTTACTATCAAATGACATAGACCAGAAATTAACAAGCGCTTCAGCGAATATTAGCAAGCAGCGAGAGAGCAGTGAGAAATTACATAGGCAATTAATAGTCAAATTTAATAAGGGCAAAGCAAAATAAAACAAAGGCTGATAATAGGATTTGCGTGCATATGTATATGGAGAGGAGTATAGTTCATCGAAATTGATTGTAGGATAGTTGCTATAAACTAACGGTCATTTAAGTTAACTCAAAAATGATTGACATAATTCATTAAAACATTTATTTAAAAGTAATTAAGATAATGAAAGTAGAAACTATGATGAGAACTATAAAACAGTTCAATCTTATACAGTTTCTGACCTCTTTCGAAAGTACGTCTATTATATTCTCGAAAAAATATCAAAAACATATCAAGATCATTTGTTCGTTAATACTTTATTAAGCAGTTAAAATTTAAACCGTGAAATGCATATCCATTCTGACAATTGATATTGTTATATCTAGTGCATTGATTCTTGCTATACCGCGTACTACTAGACTACTTGAACGATTGAACCCGCAACGTCGCATGAGAGAAGATAGAAGACTAGTAAATAGGAAGTTTATTCCCCAAATCAGTGTCAAATATAGTACAAAAATCTCATGTATTTATAGTTTTTGGCTGAAAGTAAATCATCATTTCTGACAGGCAATAGGCACATAGGGGGTCCTTCTTATTCATTCAATAGGGAAGCTACACGTCGACACTCTAGAATGTTCCCCTAGTAGTGATTGGATGGAATGTCCTCGGCTCTTTCTGGGCTTCTTGAGGCTTCCTTGAGTTTGCCAACGAGCCATCCTTACAGATATCAAGCAACATCATTGTACTTCAAATATAATAAATTCAGTTAGTTTAATCTTAGAAGATATGTTTGTATCCTAGCGTTTCTTAAATATTAAAAGACGAATTGTTTTTCTAGAAAATCCCCTCATAAAAAGAACAATTAGAGCCACTGTGAAATACTTTGCACCAAATCTCAAAAAACCATTTCAGTTATTTCACTAAGACATGGTCTATTTTCTCTAAACAACTGAGAAGTATTATTTCCATGCTTGTCTGAGTGAGGGAAGCGACTAACTCATCACCTACATTGACACTCAATAGTAGACATCATGGGTTTAGATTTAAAGAAACCTAGGGATAAACAAACCAAAACATTCCATAATCCAAAGATCGAGTAAGTGTTGAAATCAGTTGCGTTGTTATTTACTGGCAGTGTCATTAAGTAATCGTGAATATTTATATCTCTCTTCTTTTTCATGTTCCACCTACATTACTTTATTGGGATATGAATTTCTTTAGTAACTAAGTATGACAATCGCCTACTACAATATTTATTTATTTAAACACATAAATATTGGTATTGTTATTTGAATCACATTTAAGGTATATGTCTTTGTTTTGTCAAGAATGATATGGTCTTTTAACCCTTTGGTTTATCAATAGTTGATTGATATGAAAATAATTTCCATTATGGAATGAGATTAGGTGAAGGAACATTGAGAATCAGAGATCATTTAACATCTCGTTTATTATAATTTAGAACTTATCATTAGTGAGTATCCACAAACTAATTTTTTACTGAATCCAAAATATTTTTATAAGTCAGTTAGTCCCGCATAATTCAACTAGTTAACAACAGTCTGAATCAAATGAATATCTAGAAACATCTGTTCTGAAGAATAATTAAGTGCTTATTAGAGACATTCAAAACGCATATCCCAGAAAACTGATGAAAAACTATGACCTTAGTCATCAAACCGATATTAGGAAAGACAAATATCTATCGACGACGTTGCCCGAAAATTACAAGTGGCGAATCATCAAAAGTGTAAAATTTTAATCAACTCAATCTGTGTGACATTCAGATCCTAACTTTGAAACTGCGTGAGATTTTCAGTTCACACTGTGAAAAATTCTTAAGCTAAAATAAATTATATCTTTAATGGTCACTAAGCTCCAATCATTTTTCAGCTGAGATCGACTTTTTATTTTATTTAAACACATAAATATTTGATACAAGGGGGCACCAGATACATATGCACCACACAAATCTCATTTGATTTGTGTGACGGCTGTGATACTGCACAGGTGCCCAAACTGAAGTAGGTGGTTTTCTTAGGGGGCCACTCCCGGAGCCTTTGACCTAAAGGTCTGATCCACAAGGCAGTGGAGCAACATGAGGAGATGCAATTCCATGGTAGTCGGTGACCAACGAATGATTCATACGCCATTCGTTCCATCAGGATATTGCAGCCCATGTGCATCATTGTTTTGGAATCAGGGTTTTCCAACTCCCCTAGGTGGACTTTCCGTGTACACCAACTCGATTAAAGTGCCGGATATTCACTTTTCGTCCTCTCAATATAAGCTAATAGATCTTCCAAAATTTGTTTATTTACAACCAAATTGGTCCATTGAATTATTTCAAGACTGAAATGTACTACTGAACAAATTATGAACAGTTTGGTGACATGCCAATATTAATACAGTACACACTTTGCTTAGTTGAATAATATTTATTCTTGTTATCGTAAAAAAGTATATATACATGTTATTATATCCTACTTATACACAATCTATTTGATTCGAATGACTTGAGGACAAAAATTGATGAATGTCATTAAATGAAATGAAAACTTAAGGTCATGAACTGTATAAATAATGAAACATATTAGTAACTGACATTATTCAATACAACTTCATTTATTACATTCATTTGTATTATGTAAACCAAGATTATTTGAATCAATTCAGACCTTTTTTCTAGATTGAATGAATAGTTATTAGTGAACTGTTAATACACTTAAAGTAAAGTTAAATGATGTAGTATTCTGTTGAAACTGTCTGTGAATAATGCTGCTTTTTCAAGGAGACATTTATCAATATCAACTATCTACATACGGCGTTGATAGGACATACTTTATGTTTACCTTCGGTTAATGTACAAAAACAGGAATTCTGTTGAGAAACTTTTAAACATTATTTTAAAATCCATTTAGGATTTTAACTAGAATAAGTATGAAATGTCTTCGATTTTCTATAATTTAATCTAACTTTCACAGGTTTTTTACAGATTATTCTGCTTCGAAGCTTAGCAACCGTATTGGGCATTTTCTCTGCACATAAGGAATAGTTCAAAGTAAGAATAGTTAAGTAAATTTTGGTATCTTTAAATACTATCAAACCACATCTACAGAAGCTTTTGCCTCTATAGACTATTACTAAGAGAATGGTATGTGTATAATCCCCTAAATTTCTGATGTCTTGACATCTGGTTTATCAGGGGTAAACACTGTTGAGTAAATCACATCATAGAATTTAAATGGTACATTATTGCTTTCTATGTCCCCATTTCATGAGATAGAATTTCAATAATGGTGAAAGAATATGTTTTACGTCTGTTTTGTATTGACTCATGTAATTCTTAACTTTGAAAAACAATTACAAAGTCAGCACTTATGAATTTCAATATTTTGTTCATATAGTAATCCGTACATATTAGGTGAGCTCATTGTGTAAAGTATCTTTCTCAAAATCCAATCGATGTTTGACTCATGATAATTTTAGGATTTATTCCGAAATTCACAGCCAACTAGGATTCTTTTAAGTCTGCAGCAGAAAGTCAATTTTTAATACAAATCGTCAGCATTAAGAGAATAATAATTACTATCGAAGAGAATTAGAGATTTGTTTTATTCAAGTTCAGGACACCGTAAATTAAACCGTACATCTGAGACTCCACACTCAATAAGATATAAAATTATGAAACCTCTTGGTTTATCTACGGTTACCCAGATAACTTCAATTCAAATTGAGCTTTAAATTTTGTTGAACAATTTATTCAGTACAAAGAAACTGAAGAAAGAGAATGTTGTTCATCATTAGTTTACTATTGACTAGCATCAATTTACGGGATACGGATACAATGGTTTTTGCTTTCTAAATGACCGACCAGTATTATAATCATCGTTATATTCCATTATTTTATTCTGAAAATTCTGTAAATAAACTTACTGAAGATGTTTGTGATTCTAGATTTATTATCCGGACAAGGTTTTATGACATAATTTTCGAATGTTATTACTAATAAAACTAGTGGTATTAGTTGGGTGTGCTACTGATGTTAACAGATATAACTAGTATGTATCATCAATCGAAAGTGAAATATCTGGCGGCAGAGGGTTAAGAAGATCAAAGAAGAGAGAACGAGAACATTGAATGATTGGTGTGGAAATGAAGGAATAGTGAAGTCAGAGACAATCGATTGAAATTTTGCAAATTAATTATTTACTGTATGGTTTTCGGATTTTACTATGACGTTCTGTAATTTTATGCTCAAACACATTCAATTGTCCCCACTTGTCTTCTCATTTACTATAGTAGTAATACTAATACTATTGTCAACACTGATATATATCACTAGTAATTTCACAAATTTATTGAATAATAAAATCTTCATAGCTAACTTCATTGACTAGTCTTAGTTAGGCAACCGATAGAAGTTATAAAACACCAAATATTTATTTCGTCCTATTATGAGACATCTTAACAGAGTACATCCCCGAACTCTAGAACACTAGATTTTCAGGCATCCATGTGAGCGCTTAACCTTTAAGTCAAAGCATGATATAAACGTTGGAAACTAAACAATCTCTGAGAACCTGTTAAGCACCAATCTAACTAAGTAATAAAAGAAGCAAATTTGGAATCTACTCAGTCAAAGTAAATTATATATATATATATATATCATGATTCAGTAAATACATAGACTTTTAATTTGGATGCAATCTAAAAGAAGGAATGAATAATTCATTTTCTATTTTTCTTTAAAAACCAACAATTAACAGTGAACTTAGAAATAAAAATTATAATCGATACAAGTAAACTAAAAAAGAAAAACAAGAAAAAAACATTGGAAACTATCTGTATGAAACTTGGTTAGTAACAAAAAGAAATGTGTTGTTTTTTTTTTCTTTTAAAACTCATTAAAAACATTTTCAAATTGTTCTTTATCATTAATATTTAAATGAATCAATTCATTTGAATGATCCATATAATTAATATCATTATAAGTAGTATATAATAATGATGGTTGATATGGTGGTTTTATATTTAAATGATATAATTGTAACCAATTTAAATCATGAAAATATTGATGATTTTTAATATCATTAATACCATTTTTTAAGTTACCATAACGACTACTTAAATCAACTTGTATTAAATGTTGTATTAAATCTTTTAATAATGGATTAAATAATTTTGTAAATTTAATTTTACCATTAATAATCAATTCAAATGTTTTCATTTGATCATAATGTATAAATGGTGGATAACCAGTAGTCATTTCATATAATAATATACCAAATGCCCACCAATCAACAGGATAATAATAACCTTTATTTAATATAATTTCTGGTGCCATATAATCTGGTGTACCACATAATGTCCATGTACGTTTATGTTTAGGTACTAATTTAGCAAAACCTAAATCAATTAATTTAATAAAACCATTTGAATAAATAACAAGATTTTCTGGTTTTAAATCACGATATATAATAGTTAAATAATGTAAATATTCTAATGCTAATATAACTTGTCCACCATAGAATTTAACCATATTATCAGGGAATTTTTTCATATTACGTAATAATGTAAATAAATCACCACCTATAGCATATTCTATAATCATATATAAATAAGTAGTATCTTTAAAAGTAGTATATAATTGTATAATAAAATTAAAATTACATGATGCTAATATACGTTTTTCATTAATGACATTATTAATTTGATGATTTTTAATAATATGTAATTTAGATAATATTTTTAATGCATATAATTTATTAGTATTAATATGACGTACTAATAGAACATGACCAAAACCACCATGTCCAAGAGGACGTAACCTTTCGAAATCATTTAATTTTGCTGTCATTTTCATTAAATTATTATGATATAATTGATGAAATAATTTAGATTGTTCTTTGTATAGATCAGTTAGTTCAGAATGTGCTAACATAATTTCTTCATTGTTGTTGTTGTTGTTGTTGTTGTTGTTGTTGGTGGTGGTGGTGGTCATTGGTGGTGTTTGGTTCTTGGCAATAATCAATGAAGACTGTACTGTTTAATAATAAATTAGCATATTGACATAGAAAGAAAGTTTGATTGATTTGGTGTTGTTGTTGTTGTTGTTAAAATCCGATGAAAAGTTATTTTTAGTAAGTAAATCTCCACGGTTTAAATTAGATTAGAGTTAATGAACAAATGAATATATATGCTTATTATACAATGAACGATTGGTTGGATATAAATCGATTCTTATTAATTCGAATGGTCGTTAATATAAAGTGTATTTATACAATAAACAGATAATACACATGCATACATTAATGTACATTATTTTTTCGGTGGATACACCCAGTTTAATGCATAGACACATGATTACATATTTATATATTTAGAAACCAGAAGTACTTGATGCCGATTTCATTCTAATATGGAACTCTTCAGCGGCATGCATCCGAGATCCCGTCGGCGGGGTTCTAACCCAGGATCAACACTTTTGCGCACAAACGCCTAACCTCTAGACCACTGAGGCATCATTTTCCATTGTCTTAAGTAGATATCTCTCTCTACCTGACATGGGTTAGCTCCACTGCTAATGATTTCTCATTACAACTCCGAAAATTCTCTCACGATACTAGTTACTAATGAGCACATGGTAATTATTGATATTTTCATCCTGGGTTCGAGTCACACGAGTGAATCGTAGATGCACGCTTCTGAGGAGTCCCATACTAGGATGAAATGACTGTCCAGTGCTTCCAGGTTTTTAAAGATGGTCTAAAATCAATCGATTCATGATCTCAATCAAAAACTTAATAATCTCCACAACCTCATGCGGAATTAAAAACCTTGCAATCAATTTGTTGGCCATAATTATCATGCAAATATATATATACATGCAGTTTATACAAGTTAATGACAAATGTGGAGAGTGGTGGAATCGAATATTCAATTAACTATCATAGTATTATGAATAGTTATTAGTGAACAAGTATACCGATTTCTCTTTTAAGGCAGCAATGTAACATATCATTACAAAGTAATTTAAATTTTTTTTAAACTGTAGCCACTTATGGTAGTATATAACAGTCATACCAGAAAATGGAAAACAACCGGAAGAATATTTTCTTATAAAGTTTAATTAAAATGAGATTCATCGTCTAGCTGGACAGTCTGTGAAGGTTAGTTTAGTATCAAGATGGTTATCATCACAGAATGATATCAGTTAGGAAATCACTAAGAAATTAGAGATTACAATTGGTTCTTCGAATTTGAAACATTTAAAAATTGTACCATCTGCCCCACTGGGTCATAGATAGACTTAGAATCTCCATAACATTCTCCGAATGCCTCACTTTAACCGACCGAGCTGGAATTCACTGGTTACTATTTCCATATACGATGACTAACATCTGTTAATGTGATATATAACTGTTTCACTTTAAATTCAAAATCCATATGATTCAAAGCGTAGGATATTTAAAATTTATGGTAAAATTACTAAATATAGGATCTTGTCACCACCAATTAATACCACTGTCCTAACTACAAGTACTACGTTTGATTGGCCAGTATGGTGAATAGCAACTACAATTGATATAAATTAATATGACCGCCCTCGCGTAAATAGTAACCGTATCCAATAATAAACCGACTACATGAATTGGTGAAACTTGTAAAACAAAATACTGTTTTTGTCCTGTGGTTTTGATTCCAGGCACTCGAGACTAAAATCTACATTGATGAATTGTGTAGACATAAATAAGCGTTAGCGCGAGCGAAACCGAAGTTCCTAAGTCCAGGTTCATGGATGCACATCGCTCACGAGCCCCATACTAAAACAAAACGGCTGTCCAGTACTTCCAGATGGTTTAATAATCATCGATTCATGATTTCAATCAGAAATAATAGAGTTGAAGTAAATGATTATTAAAGGCGTTTAGATTTACGATTATGAAATGAATACATCACTTGACGGGCAAAGTTTATTCTCTTTACTTTCTTTCCATGTTATCAGTCACAGGAATTGTTTACAGAATGAAACGATACAGTTGACACATATTACATACATTACTGATTTTCAATTCTAGACATTACTCAGTGAAAAAGATAGACGAATGGAAGAATAAGACACAACTGAAAAATTCAATGGCATATCAATTACTAATTTAGAAATGTACACAATTACTGTGTTTATGTCTGAATAAGTCACCTATCTACATTGAGGATTAATGATTTTAATGTACTTGCAGCGGTATCATCAACAGTTTATGTGGTATTTAATCCATAAATGCAGATATTTTAATACTTAGATGCATTTGTTAATAGTTAGAATCAAAGAAAATAATGAAATAAAAGTATCATCAAAGTCAACTAACCAAAGGCGTTTTTTGTACTAACCAAATCAAAATATTCAGTTCTAAAATGAAATTAGCTGAAGATTATTTACAAAATAACCAGATTCACATAGTTCAATTGCATCAATTGATGAAGAAAACAACAAGCCATCAGATGATTGTGAGTCGATTTGAATAGAGACTTACCAAATGGATAAAGGAATTGATGATTATACAATTATTAGCAAACAGTCAAATCAAATATCTTCAGATGATTTTGTAGCTACTATGGGAATTCTTGAGAGATTCAAATAATATTAAGCCTCTTAACATCTGATTCTTCATATACATATGCATTTCCCTATCTCTAAATGTAACATATATCGCACCAACTATACTGTTATTAAAATAAGGCAAAATGAAATCAAACATTCTAAATAACATTATCTATGACAATTTCTAAAAATAGTGAGAACATGACAATAATAATTTTTTAGTGTGAACCAGTCTTTAGAAATTATTCGCTTATAGTTAACTAAGTGATCGAGTTTAGTCTCAAAGTTTTCAGTGCTTGAGGGTTTCGTAGATTACTTAGTCTTTGGTAGTCTGGTAGACAAAAATGTCATACATTACGAGGTTATACACTGTGCTGCTATGAAACTATGTCTTACCATAACATTATGCGGCCAATAAAAATCTGTTTACTAACAACAGTAACAGAGTTTGGTACATGTTGAGGCTTTGGTTTAGTGTGTACCGAGAAGAAAACTCAGAAACCATAATAGAAATTCCGAACAGTTCTACCTTAGTTTAAAGAAACGCTATAATCTTGTAAAAACCTGATGGAAGTAAGCATTTCTATAACATTTATATGATTTTAAGAACTTTTTCTTCTGCATTTAGAATTTCGTAGGTATACCATATCTACGGCTTTAGACAACTGTCAAGGCGTATAACCTTATGAAGGTGAAAATTTTTAGGGTAGGCTGAAAAACGGAATCCATGTTTACGAAAAGTTAGTTATGGGTTCCAAATATAACATGCATAATACCGGTTACGATCTTTTTCCTTCGCTGTATTCCATGTTTCATCGCTTTTTATTACTGAGTTTGAGATCTAGATCTATCTTTGGCATTTACAGCTGTTATTACAAAATCGCGAGTTCAGAATTCAGGTATACCGGTGTGGTAGTTAGGACAGAATTATGGAAAATTCCTTTCTATAGTAAGTGAGTTTGATCCAAAAGGCATTAGCTGAAACTAAAGATAACTATTGTAACTTAGGTGGATCATAGTTGAAATAGCAGATTATTAGCTTAATTCGAGTAACAAAAATGAATCTGAGTAAATTGGATCAACACACGATAACATCATATGGAAAATAAGATTACTTTGGTTGAGTGAACAGACAATATATCATCCTCGAATTGTCTTACACTTACTTACTTACTTTCGCCTGTTACTCACAATGGAGCATAGGCCGCCGACCAGTATTCTCCAACCCACTCTGTCCTGGACCTTCTTTTCTAGTTCTATCCAGTTCTTGTTCATTCTTCTCATGTCTGTCTCTATTTCTCGCCGTAATGTGTTCTTTGGTCTTCCTCTTCTCCGTTGACCTTCAGGATTCCATGTGAAGGCTTGTCATGTGACACAATTGGGTGATTTCCTCAAAGTGTGCCCAATCCACTTCCAGCGCTTCTTCCTGATTTCTTCCTCCGCTGGAATCTGGTTTGTTGTCTCCCACAGTGACTTGTTGCTGATAGTGTCTGGCAATCGGATCCGAAGTATCTTGCGTAGACAGCTGTTAATAAACACTTGTATCTTCTGGATAATGGCTTTCGTAGTTCTCCACGTCTCTGCCCCATACAGAAGAACTGTCTTGACATTTGTATTGAAAATTCTAACCTTGGTGTTGGTTGACAATTGTTTTGAGCTCCAGATGTTTTTCAGCTGTATGTATGCTGCACTTGCTTTGCCGATCCGCGCCCTCACATCTGCATCTGATCCACCGTGTTCATCAATGATGCTGCCCAGATATGTAAAGGTTTCCACATCCTCCAAAGCTTCTCCGTCAAGTGTAATTGGATTGGTGCACATTGTATTGTATCGGAGAGTCTTGCTTTTCCCTTTGTTTATATTGAGACCTGCTGCTGCTGAGGCTGCTGCTACACTGGTCGTTTTCTCCTGCATTTGTTGTTGCGTTTGTGATAGAAGAGCCAGATCATCCGCGAAGTCTAAATCGTCAAGCTGCATCCTGCCTGTCCACTGTATCCCGTGCATTCCTCCAGATGTTGACGTCTTCATAATCCAGTCGATCACCAGGAGAAAGAGAAAGGGTGAGAGTAGGCAACCTTGCCTAACACCGGTCTTTACCTCGAACGAGTCGGTGAGTTGTCCTCCGTGGACGATTTGGCAGTTTAGTCCATCATAGGAGCTCCGTATGATGTTGACTATCTTCTCAGGCACGCCGTAGTGTCGAAGAAGCTTCCATAGTGTCGTCCTGTCCACGCTATCAAATGCCTTCTCGTAGTCGATGAAGTTGATGTACAGTGATGAATTCCATTCGATTGATTGTTCCACAATGATACCTGCGTCCAATGTGTTTCACTGATTCCAAGCACTTCCAGGTTGTATTTCCTAATTTCCGCAGAAATTTGGAAGACTCTGCCGGTCTCCCACATTGTCCGGACATTCCATGTACCTATAAAAATTGTCGCTCTGGTTGTAAGAAGGTGCATCGGCCTCATGACTTCCGAATGAACTCGGCTTTCATCATGAGACGTCATAATTATTCCTTCTACTCCCAGGGCAGAGTTTAAATGGTTTGAATGATTTTTTCTGGTTAGCGTTTTTTTAGCGAGTTGATTTTCTACGGGATGGGGTCGCTAACCCCATGCCCAACCCTCCTCCTTTACCCGGGCTTGGGACAGGCAGTAGCCCCTGGAGGAGCTACAGGCGGGGTTCGAATTGTCTTAGACGTAGCATTTAAATAATGATAATGATAATCTAGTAGTTTCTAACACTATTCTATTCAAAACATTTTTAAAAAGAATAATTCATTTGGACATCACATTTAGCATTCAAATCGACAAAACTATTTGCATAACTGTTGTTATATTACTTATAGATTGTTAGTAGTTCAAAACACCGAGACAATTTAATAGCCAGTTACTTTTAATTGATTTTGTAGGATTCATTATTCAAGAAAAAATGACAATGCTTGATAAAGATTTCAGGACTAAAATGTATGAACTGTAGTGGAAACTTTTGTCAGCACCATAATTAATATAATCTTATATAATCGGAAGATTCGAAACGGTATATAACACTTTACAAGGTCTTCCTAAGTTTTCCGAGAATCCATGAATAGTATGCATGTTATTTTCGTTAATGATCCTCATTTGG